TCTTTTCTGATTTAGATGAGGAAATTTTTCCCCCCTTATGTAAGCTAACTTTTGCCCAGGGCTCCTGCTTGTTAACATTTGCCCGTCTTTTTCCTGCCTGGCATTGGCTTTTTCTCCTAACCTAGGCTGGAGCTCTGCGAATCCAGCATGAGGCTAGATGCCTGCCACAAGGAGAGTCCAGCGGACAGATCCTGAGGTGGAGAGAACCTCCCAGTTCCCTCTTCCTTTCTCCTTTGCTGTAGAACTGTTTGTCTGAGGTCTGTCCTTTCTCTCCATTCCTCCACCCTCATTTCTTTCTACTGCCAGTTGGTAGATTTGGCTTTAAAATGGACAAACCTCCTGCTCCCCTGGTTCAGAATTAATGATTTTCATCCTTTCAGGGATCTTGCTGTGAAACACACAGGAGCCTGTTGAGTTTCTGCTAAGCCTGACGGTTCACAATGGAGCATTGATCCTGGGGCTGAGTGGCACCCCGGCTTCTGCAGCTCACCGTGAGCTGCAGGGCAGAACGTACTTTCAGTGGTTGTTTAGATCTGACACGTTGGCTTTTGTTTATACTTAAATTGGGGGCATGCTTCCCCTTATTTCTATCATTTAGGACGTGGTGATCAGCCACCTATAGACTTTCGGTGCCCACAGCATTGCTTATGAAATCATCACATATCAAATGGGCTGATTTTTTTCCCCTCATAAAAGAAACTCTTTTTCAGTTGGTGTATCGATTGGTGTAGTTACTATGAATTGAGCCTGATCCATTTATCCCTTTATTTGAGGTTTACTAAAATTGTTTACCCCTTTTGGAGACAGAAAAATGATCTAGATTGCGATTGAGTCGTTCCAATTCTTTTCATGCCGAGCAAGGCTCTCTGCTAAATTTGGGACCTCAGGAGACAGCTTGAGGATCCGGACAGTTACAAGTGAGACACGTTGGCTGCCTGGCCACATGCCAGGTGCCAGAAGGTAAGGCTGGAGGTTTGCGCCTGGATTTGGACATAGCTGCTGCTGTTAAAACAAAACAAAACAACAAAACAAAACAAACAGAAAAACCCCAACTTTATTCTTATGGAATATGTGCTGAAATCTAGAAAACTGAGGTTCTTTGGTGTGGGAAATCCCATGGTGGAATTCCCAGAATTAGTGGTGGCACCTGGAAATTCTAATTTCAATTCAAATTAGCCTGAAGTAGGCCCTGCAGGGGCTGCTGGGAAACATACAAGTGGTGTTTGTTTTGGGGAATGTTAAGTATTGGTGGTAATGTCAGGTGTAGGAATATTGAAGGAATGTGTGTACACAAGAGGAGGAATTAAAAGGACTTTTAAATTTTATTTTGACATTACCATCATGTGAAATGCATGCTCTAGCAGTAACTGTAAACAAAGAAGAAGCGGGTTTGGTCCCTGAAAGATGCCTGGAAGATGTCCTGTTCACTTGGTGCCACGTTCATTTCCATGGAAATATAGGAGACAGCACAGCAGCCCGTCAAGGTTTTCTTCAGCTTCGGTTAGAAGAGAAATATTTCTTCTAATTTAGTTTTGGATGGAATGATAAAACAGTTCTAATACTCTCATATTTCTTAGTGGTACTGCACAGTAATTTTCAGTTTACATTACATTAAAGCTGTCATAGGCCCCTGAAATGAATGGAGTTTTGTTTTTTTCTTTTTTGGTGCTGACACTTTGGTATAATTTGGAATACTGAGAAAAACTCCCAGTGTAACACAGATGAATTTTTAATATGATCAACTAAGTCAGTTTTACTCAGTAGAATATTAATAATTATTGTGTAGTAAAAAGGCTGTGCTGATATTAAATTTCAATGGTAAAACCAGAAATTAGATTATCACCTCATCTCTCTCTCTTTTTTGTTTAGAAATCAACAAAAATGTCACACACACACACACACACACACGCACACCTTATTTGATAGCATGCTTCATAGCAAAGTTTTAGGAATGAAAAGACATTCTTGTTCCTAGCACATCAGCATTCTTTCTCCAGTAGAAGTGTGAGGAAGGCAAGGTGAAAATCAGCTTGTCTTTTTGAGACCTTGCCATAGATCTGCCTAGATTTTCTTGGTTATTTTAAGGATTACTGCTTTGGTTACTCTGCTGAGTTGAATGGTGCAGAGTGAGTTGATGTTAATCATAGACAGCTCATTCTGATGTCACCTCTTTCAGACAACTTCAGTTTTGTTTCATTTGTGAGTTATGGGCCATCTGAGGCCTGTGGCTGTGATTTGGGGGGGAGTCTGTTGCACTGCCGGTCCAGCCTGTCCAGTCCTGTTCTCTAAGGCCGAATTGAGCACAGATAGAGAGATGATATGTGGTTAGGGTCTGTGTGTGGGGGCAGGGGAGGGTCTGGCTCTCACCCTGGTCTCAGCCTTTACAGAGCAGAATAGATAGGGAAAGGCTGTGGTTTGAACCGAGGAAGTGTGTCTTGGCATGAGCAGGGCCTGAAAAATAGGGAAGGCAAGAAGGTCTTTTGGACCCCTCCTCTTTTGGACCTATTCCCTTCACTGGGTGGAGCAGGGCAGGGTGGGGAGGGACCCTTAGCCACCTCCCATGACTGAAGTGTGGGTTGTCTGCCCTGCACCTTGCTGGCTGCACTCTTTCTGAGCTGAAGACTGAGACCATCTTTCAGACTCCTGAGGCTTTAGTGGTCTGCTCTCGGTGCCTGGGAGAAGACTTCTGTGGCTAATGGTGTTGAAGCTGGAGAACTAAATGGTCACCACCCTGAGTTCCCTGGGCACAGATGCTTCAGGAGGACTTTTGGGTCTGCACAACTCCAGAAAGAAGTCACTCTCACTCTCTCACTGTGGTTCCACCCTTCTTCCTCTAAGTACACAAATCAGCCTTAGGCTCTGATCTTCGATGGGTGGGGGCCATATGGGGAGAGGGCTGCAGAAACATGGCTTCTCATTCTCTACCTCTCAGAGATCCTATATGCATATGAAGAGCATCTTTTCTTAGGGCCTGGTTCTGAAGTCAACAGAGAAGGTGAAAAATCATTTTTGATGTTTATTTTTTCATGGCTAACTCTGAATTGTTGACTTCACCCAAGGGTTATGATTCCTATACATGCCACTGCACATAGTTTCATGTATACTATGTGCTAGTAGAGTGTGATGGTATTTTACAGTTCCTGCTCTGTGGAGGTGAGCAAGAGAGTGCTATGTTACTTGGCCACTTCATGTTGGCTCAGAAAGAGGCTGTTCAGGCACCCCTGCCCTTAATTACCTTCCTTAGTTTCTAAGCTGTTTCTCCAGACACAGACCCTGGCTTTGGTTGAATGGGAGGGGAGAAGTGTGTTTTGTTATCTTCAGTCATCCCTACAGATGCTGGGGGGAGCTTCTTTGTTAGTTTCAGGTCCCTGGGTTCCCTCAGAAACAGATTTTCCTGACCTTCTGGCCTTGGTTTCTCTGTGCACTCCCCCCCCACCCCCCACTCCATTTTGATGAAAACTTCTCTACTGGAGGTTCCCTGGCCCAGCAGCTCATCCAGTGGCTCCCTGAATTTTACTTCTGCTCTATCATTGACTCCCTTTCTGCTGTTTACATCTTACCTTGGGGTTCCTAACCCATACCTGAAGTCTTCCATTTGAACTTCACAAATGTCCTGGAAGGTGGAGAAGGGAGCTGGGTATGTGCTAAGTCCTGGGTATAGTGAAGTATATGCAGGTGTTATTGAAGAATAAATGTTCACACCAGCTTCTAAAAGGAGATCCTGCTATTCTGACCGTTTTAATGATGCAGAAACTGAGATTCAAAGCTGCAACGAAGGGAGACATCTTATGCATATTTACTATAAAAATTCTCACTGAAACCAGTCGATGCTTCTTTCTTTGCTCACTGTGTGTGGAGAAGCTGTAGATAAACTGTGGTCACAGTGATTGATGTGCTCGGCTGTGCTGAGCTGTCTCCTCTGCTTGCACCTCCCACCTGAGGGAGGCAGCCTAGCATAGGGTTTAAACCAGAGATTATACTCGAGCCAGATTTCTGGCCCCATGACTTTGTGACTTTGGGCAAATTACTCAAACTCTCTGTGCCTCACTATTAATTATACTGATTAAATAAATTAAGCATTTGAGGATTCTAATAGTTTCTTTTTGTTTGTTTGATTTTTTAACCAGAGCATGAGTAAAGATTTCTCTTGCATGTACCAGCTTGATCTGGTGGAAGATAGGGTCGTGGGGCCTTTTAGATAGGCTCTAGGCTGTTAAGTTTCAAGTTGCTGACTGCCTGCTGAATGCTAAGATGTCATTTTCCTAAAATAAGAACGCTGGATGTCATAGGTATGCTGCTCATTCCTCTCGTTGCTATCCTCAGAGAACTGATCTTCCTCTCTACATGTATCAGAGTCCTGTGGATACTCCAGCCCCCACCCCCCAAACGTGATTTTCTTCTGATATTTAATCACAAATGGCATGGGGACAGAGGCTGGGGAGCAGCTCGGTAGCTGGATTATTGCCATTCTAGCCTTCCCAGCTGCCTGTATGCTGGCCTTTTAGGGACATTGGACCCTCTTGCTCTGTAGACTCTCTCTCTCACCTGTTCCAGTAATGAGTGAAACCACGAAGCCTTCCATTTTCTGGTTAGAAAGGAGGCTGGAAGGGCCAGAGCTCCAGGGAGAGGCATCACATCTGCAATTCACATCAAAGGAAGAAAGTCCCCTTTGCTTCTGAGCTGGATTTTTTAGAGACAAATGGATAGAAGTGTTGTGAGAATATTGAGATAAAATGGGAAATGGAGGCAGGCATAGTCTGGAGAGAAAAATAATCACTTTTCCGATTCAGGTTTTATTTTAGGTTAGCATGCTTCTGCGCACACTTGACATCACACCAATTTACATAAAGCTTTTCTGAGATAAGAAAGGTTTCTACTAATTTTTTACATTCCATTTTCATGAAAAATATCAGTGTTTCAGGTAAAGATATTCTTGTTGATCTGTGAGGTTACATTAAGAAACCACTATATTGGTTCTCTGATTTTCTTTTTTCCCAAAGCTCTACATTGATCTCTGGAATTAATGTTGGTGAGCTCCTGAGGTCTCTAAAATGAAAATGGGAAGGACCATGGCTCTTTTTCATCCCTGAGAAGGTAACTGAAGTTGGTGTGTGGGTATCTGTAGAGTCCAGATTTCCTTCAGATTTTTCCATTTAACCCCTTGGGCTTTGGGATAAGGGCATTAATTTTTATGTAGAGATGTTCGCATTTTTGGGTCCCATTCTTGAGCCATGTGGATTTGGGGGTGAAATGGAGCTGGAAAGAATTGTAGTAGTATTATCAGCTCTGAAACAGCTTAAGAACTTTTAGAAGAATTCTTTTGGGAACTGGAGTAGGGGCGGTGTGAGGAGGGTGGGGACAGTCTGATTAAAGAGTAGCCTCTCTCAGTTACAACTGAAGTCCTATCTTCAGTTTTATATGGAACCTCAGTTTAGAAAATGTATATATTGGGTTGTCGGAAAAGTCATAACACATTTTTGCAACGAAAAACATATAAGAAATACATCATGACTTTTCTGACATCCCAGTAGTACATGGAACTGATAGCCATCCCACTTCACCTCCCCTTCAGTTCCTATTGTGTCCTCAAGGCACCACCTCCAATTGAGGAAAAAAACCAATATTTGATGTACTGGAATTAGAGGGCACCCAAACTCTGTCAGCTCTGGGGTTTCTGCTTATTGCCCAGTTATGGCCATTGGTCTTAAGTTAGGGAAAATATTTCCTCAGAGGTGAAAAATTGGTTCCAGTGGTTTTCCAATGGTTTAGGGGTGAACTGTCCTTACCAGATGGTGAGAATTTTACTAATGATAACTACTAATGAGTAATGCTTCCCATGTTTCTGGTGATGAGAGTTATGCTAGCTTTGTTTCCCTGGAATGCCCTACACAAATTACTTAAACAGTTTGTATGGGGGATTAGGAGACATATTCATGAAAGTGTAATTATATTACAAGCGTCAACAGGGAGACCCATTAGATAGTTATAGGAGGATGAAAAAAACACAAGACAAATCATTGGGAAGTTTGAAAACTTGATAAGGTGACTGGTCCCTTTAGGAAATGTCTCATAAAGACTCAATGAACTGGACAATTTCTTAGGCTATCCTTGAAATTAGGGCACACTGACAAGAACAGCTTGTTTGGTAGAAATCACTGGGCTTTGCACAATAGTTCTAAACGGGGTTACCACACTCGAGTTCCTTTAATAATTCTCAGTCAGTGTAAGTTCTACATGTTTTATAAATGTTATCTTGATGTATTTTATCAGTTATAAAGTCTTTTTAAAAATTTTCTATGTTTAAGTCATGTTTCTCAAACTAGGGACCCTCAGAACCCTTTAGTAAGACATTCCTTGGGTCTTCTTTGATAATTATTTTTCTTCAAAAGGTTTCTGAACCTAATTCAAATTTGAGAAACACTGACATAGAGGGGGATATGAGGTACCTAAGACCACAGATTACATGAATTTCTTTCACATCTGTTTGGAATAACATATTCCTTTCTTTGTCTCTTTGTTTTAGAAGAGAAAGTAAAGTGCAGTGTGTGTTTGTTTGTGTGTGTGTGTGTGTGTGTGTGTGTGTGGCATAGAGTGTACTACTATTAACGTGCTACAATTTATTTTAGTTCTCTGTTCTGAGTAAATGTCTAAAATGTATATGTACCTTATTGTGAAAGTGCTGGTCTTTAAGGAAAAGTCATCCTTATTTTACTTGGAAACTCTTCACTGATTGCCTTTTAACTGCAATCAGATAATTTATGTCTGTATTTTGGGCTTTTCTTAGACTGATTTCATCTTAAGAGTCCTTTATACTTTCTACTATTTCCCAGCGTCTCTTAACTATGCTTGTCAGGCTTGTTCCACAAATTTGCCTTGATTCTGTCTATCTTGGAACCGTGGTTTATATTAAACCCCTTATTTAAAATGTCCTCTCATCCATCCATCTAAACCCCAACTATACCTTGCTGTTTGCACCACGTCATAGTTCCTCAGTGAATAGGAATGAAACTATAATGAAATCGTAAATTCTAGCGCAGTCCTCCAAAATTGGATATGTGAGGAGGAGATACTGACCTGACCCTTATCCTTTGGGTTCTCACTCATTTCCATTGCCCTTTCCATTTTGACCTCAGGGGATCTTTAATTCTTTTAGAATGTTATAGATGAGGCTGGACTACCTCAACAAGGATTCATATTTATTTTCTTTTGGGGAATTATCAACCCATATCCATATTTTGCTTATGAGGTTCTCAAATTGGGTCCCTATGACAATTCCCTGTGATAATCTATACATTAAGATAAACCCTTAATTTAAGGGTTAAACACAATGTAACCCTTGAGTATATATTGCCTTAATTACTTTTGTTTCATTCATTAGGCACTCAATAAATAATGCTTGCAGTTGATGCTTACCTATCTACTTTATCTCTTCTAAGAAAACGAAATTGCTCTGAGAGTGGGGACCATGTTGCCTGTGCAGTTATTGACCAGAACATAAAGATTTGGTTGGTTTTTAGTGCAACAAAGTGGTGACCCTGTTTGACTCATCTCCTGGGATCAACAGATTATACTGCTGTCAACTCCGATAGGGTTAACTCATAATTTTTTTCAGTTTGAACTAGGTAAATTGTAATGTTGCTTAAATTGAAGTGACCCTCTTGAGTAGAAATCTGAATTTTCCCTGGTAATATTGATAGCTTTACTTGGGCTGCTAGATAGTTATTGGAAACAAGAAGACGACACATAGATGCTTTAGTGGGAGATTGGTGGATTTGGTTTATTGAGGCGATAGGGCCTGCTGGTGGTGAATGCATCACAGTGGAGAAAAACCTCCATCCTCTGTAAAATAGTTAGGGTAAGAAGCAGAACCAGAGAGCATGTGTTAAATAGAATCCAAATCAAACCTACTAATTGTGCAAATGATTTAAAGGTTACTGAGGAAATTGACTTAAACTGCTAACTCAGCATAGAATAGCACAAACACAGGCAAAGCTGGGGTTGCCATAGTAATTAAGTATACACAGGGTAATGAGCCTCTGGTATATGGAAGGCGTAGTTAGAGTACATCTGGAATGCTGGTTTCAGAAAAAGAAAAAGATTCTACAAGTTTGGTTTTGTGTGATCAAAGATCATTTTGAAGCTAAGAAACAAAAGATATTAAAATGTTTGTGTTTGAGGTGACTAGAGCTTCTTGTAAGCTTAGAAGTAGGGAGCGAATAAGGGATCCTAAAAAAGATCAAAATAGCTTGTTGTCACTCTGAAGGGATGTCTTTTTCTTTAGAGAAAATTGGATCATTTATAGGCCATTGATGCAGTTAATAATATGAATTTTATCAGCCCCAACCAAATCATCTGGATGAATTTCTTGCCTTCCCTGCCTAATGTGAAATACTAGTTCAGTATACCTCTCATTTGTCATTCAGAAATTGTTAAGTGCTGTTGACAAACCGATAATGAGTTTGACATGGGATCAATATTGACAACAGTCTTTAGCGCAGACATGTTTATTCTGTAGTGTGGTTTCTTAAAGCATGGGCTTAAAGAGTTATTTTCTACTCCTGGAGACATATAAATAAACTTCACTCTAGCAACTGTTTTTAGAAGTTTCATCAAATTTTTAAGAGGATGATCAGTTTTTAACTCATCAGGATGAGACTGGGGTTGAGATTTTAACCCTGACCCTCCTTGTCCCTCCCCTCACCAACACATACAATATAATATGAAGATTCAACAAGTGGCTTCTCTCTTTGTTTTAAAATTTTAGATTGATGTTCCAAAAGGTTAACATTGAGAATTTTAAGGAAGGTTATCTTAAAAATTCCTTGTTCCTTTAACTCTGATAGCTTTTCAGTTTGGGGAGGGAGCTGGTTTGATCTTGCTTAAAAGGAAAAAGCAAACCTCCTCATTTAAATACAGTTGTTTTAAATTATAGTTTTAATATAACAATAGAGAAAATTTGGGAACTCTAAGCTGGGAATCACTCATGATCTTATCACAAATAAAATCACTATAATCATTTGTGTTATTTCCATTCTGGTTTTTGGTGTTTTTTTTTTTTTGGAGCATGGTTTATTTCATATACTCTACTCTTTGGGTTTATTTGTTCTTAGTGTAGTTGGATGTCAAGTGTAGAGAGATGACCCTGGCTTTGTGGATTATCCATGATTGTCCCTTCACATATTGCACAGAGGTGAATGGCTTGGTGTTTAGGGTCAGTAGCTGACTTGGGGAGAGAGACCTGCCCTTTCCTTTAACGTGAAAAGATAGGGTGCCAACAATGCAGGACCACTGGGGATGGTTGGCCCTCATTCAAGGTACTGTTGTCACTGTGTGTAGTGGAAGCTCTGAAAGATTGCATATCTGGTGGCGGTGCTCTTCAGAAATTTTTGTTTGCATAAAATAATCTTAATTTGTAAGATTTTTCACTGTATGTTTAAAAAGCTACCTGTGTATTGACACTTGCCATACATATATTTTCCGTCAAAATCTTGGGAGTTTCATAACATAATTGGCATAGCCAGGCCTCCCCATCAAGCCAAGTAGCCAAATAAGGCTTAATTATTTTTCAGAAAAGGTCTCACTTCGTTTTTCAAATCATACCTATATATATTAATAGGTGTCTCTCTGGCAGCCCTCTCATGTCTAATATACATTATAATTCTGAAATAGAAAATGAGATTTGGGACTCTGTTAGGAGTTCTCTCTCTCTCTCTCTCTCTCTCTCTCTCTCTCTCTCTCTCTCTCTCTCTCTCCCTCTCCCCCTCCCCCTCCCCGACAACCCAATAATATAAGCTCTTTGAGGGCATGCCCTCCCCTTTCCCACCTATTTCCCTGGAGCAAAATTATATAGTCAGTAAAATTTTATTAAATTGAATTAAAATATATCAGATAGTATTTCTCTGTTTTGGGGAAAAACATAGTTTTCCTTAGTAAATTTAGAAGTTATTTGGTTACATGAAAAAACATAAGCCTTAATTTAAAAACAATGTTAAAGAGGATTTGCATCAACTTGAACATTGAGGGTACATGGAAAGAAATATATATATTTCACTGTAAACCTTTTGTGAGAAGACAATAATAGTAAACCACATGAGTTGGTGTGGTGGAAT